TCCAATTTTATTATTAAAACATAATAACTTCCTCCAAATTTTTAATCCAAAATCGAGGGGGTAGCTTTTATTCGGGGGTAGCTTCTATTCGGTAATATACGGTATTCAAAATCATTAGCATAGATATAATTTATTTAAATCATGCGGTGAAGATTAGAAATAAGGACATTGATGAAATTAGTGTCACATTGGATTTCAATACCGAGAATACCTTCATCTTCGTTTCAAACATACCAACTTTACCTTCACCTTTATATAAAACACACCAAATATTATCATTTTTACCTTCATATTCATTTCAAATATATAAAAATTACGTTTTTTACCTGGAACTCATGGTACCATGGTTTCATTAGTGTTAAGACACATCTTGAGTTGATAACTTGAGAAGTAAGTGTGAAAACTTGGTTATATATGTTTAGAGTAGGAATAAGCTATTAATTATAATATAGTAAAACTAGTCATCCAAAATCTTCTCAGGTTAAGCTTCTGATAGATTATAAAAAATTAGCAGAATTCTATTGAAAAACTAGACATTAACTGAATGTTTGTTATTCACAGTTAATATTGCGAGTATATATTTTTTATTTATTATTCATCTTTTTTAGAAATAAGTGTCATTAAAAGAAAACCCAAAAATTTAAATATGACTTATATTTAAATTTCGGGTTTTCTTTCAGCAATACTCAAATAGCATTGAGATTGTTTTTCAGATGACACGATAAAATTTATGTGATAAGAAAAGAAAACAGGATTTTTGTATTGTTTACTCACAACAGTGAAAATTTTATTGAATATTATAATGAAGTTTATATACTCATTCATACATAATTAACATTGAGTATGTTTGGTTCCAAATTTCTGTTACTCATATGGGGTCTTTGCCTTGAAAATCAAATATATGACATATGATTTACTATGTCCCATAACTTGATTTTCAAGGCAAAGATCCCATATAATTAATACATTCTTTTATAGACCATCATTTTCTATACATTATATAATATTTTAGCACAACTTGATGAATCTATTGGTGACAATTCTTTGATGAGATCATATCAACTATTGACAAGCCTAAAAGGAAGAAAAAAAAAATAGATTGTATTCTTAAAAAGTTCTGCTAATTTTTATGTTTCTCTAGTACACATATTATTAATTGTCTGAAGCGAAGCAAAGGACATTTTGTTTTATGAAAGAGCATAATGGGTTTTTATTCTAATTGGCTAATTTTTTGTAATTTATTTTGATTTTACAAAATCTGATTGGCTAATAGAAAATGAGTTTGAAGTAAAGTAATTAAAAACTTTTTTTGTTGGTAATTCAGCTATTTTGTTCTTTTTATTTGATATTTAAACTATATAAAAAATTACAATAAAATTTTTTTATAGCTTTTATTAAACACTCATTAAAGAATTTATGCTTAGATATAATTTGTTTTAATAAAACTTGGCCTCTCTTTGAAGTCTTAACTTACTAAAGACTTAATTTTTTGGTCATTGGCTAGCATTTATAAACCTAGCTAAAATCAAATAGCTATGTTTATTTCTAGTTTAATTAATAAATTAATTGATTTAAAATTAAACTTATTTTCATTTTGGCTATTTTGCTAGTAATCCTTTATTAAGATTAAGCCTAATATTCTATATTTACTTTTAAGATCACTTACAAGTAACTAACTATACTAACTTTATAGCTTAATAGTTAAGCTTTCAAACCTTACAAACAAGGTTGATGGTTTAAGTTAAACTGGAGACAATTATAAAAATTTGTTATTATAATCTACAGATGTCTAATTGAATATGAAGCTTTGTAAAAATCTATATATAATATGAAATTAAAATAAAAAGTTCTCAAAAAGAGACTAAGTTGCGAAGCATAAACACTATATAATAATAATATTATAAAAGGTTTTGTTATATGAAGATTGTATAAATAAGTTTTTTAATTAAGGTGACTTAGAGCAATACTAATATCTTTATATCTAACTTGTAAAAAACTTGTTTAGAAAAATAATATATTAGTAACAAGAATTAAAATAATAAGAAAAACAGCAATATACAACTATAAACTATAAAAAAAATTATATTATATTTGAATTAAAAACATCTCTGATATCTGTATAATATCTGTTAAAAAAAAAATTACTCAATATAAAGAAAAATTAACAGGCAATTTGAAGTACTGTATATATAAAAAAATAGGCTAAAAAAGACAAGATTATATTTAATTAAAAGTAATATTACAAAATACAAATACAGAAATACAAACAAAAACAAAAGGTGTAGCAACTTAGTGAAGTTGATAAGTTGTGATATCTCAAATAACAGAACAAGAGTTTAAATCCCACTAGCAATGAAATTCGAATTTGTGAAATATGTTATAGCAAACTGTATAACATATTGATCAGATCAGCATCTATAACCTTGGTCTCACCAACTCATATTGGAAGATTGTAAAATATAGTATAATACATGAGTTATATGAATTCCAAGTGAAGCAACCAAATTAATCCAAAGAATCAGGAGATATAGAAGTCTGCTTGAGAAGTTCCAAGTAGTGAGATAATACAGATCTTCAACAGTACTATATAAAAGATTATCATTTAAAGAACTAGATATTGAAGACAAACTGAATGAGGACTGAGTGTTTGGCAAGCACTATATCAACCAGGCCACCAGATAACTAAAGGAAAAAGGATTCATTTAAAATATCAAAGGATGCTTACTAGTTCCTTTCAGGCCATTTGGATTAGAAGTTTGAAGCACCAACAGTTAATATAGAAGTACTGTTAATAGTCTATAAAGTGGGTGCTAGGTTTGGGTAAACTTTGCAAAAGCAAGAAGTAAGTAACAGTAGCAGAAGTAAAATGCTACAAGTATTTGGTTGCAATCAAAGTGTAAGTTACTGAAAATCTAAGTGATACATATATAAGACATAGACTACTCTAGTAGATTTATCACAAGGATAAAAGACTCCCTATATGGTAGTGTTTATCTGTTTTAAAGTCCTAAGGAGCTTACATAGCAATTCCTCTTTAAAGAGAATATCTGTTGATAGTGCTAAGTTGATTAAATAGTTTAATTAGATAATTTAAATAATAGTGAATTATAGGTATAACATTTAGTATAAAACCTAGTAATAAAATTAAACGCTCAAAAAGTACAGATATGGCTAGAATGTATTTTTATGATTTTACTACAGAATCCTGATACTCAAAATCCTGATGTTTAAAATCTTGACAACAAAATCTCAAAACACAAAATTCCAACAAATTAAAATCCCAACAGTATTAAAATCTCAACATTCAAAATCCTGATATTCAAAATCCTGACACTTTTAAAATCTTAACAGAATTAAAATCTCAAGCTAAAATTTTAATTCTGTTAAGTTTTTGAAAGTGTTGAGATTTTGAATGTCAAGATTTTGAATGTCAGGATTTTAATACTATTGGGATTTTAATTTGTTGAGATTTTGTGTTTTGGAATTTTGTTGTTGAGATTTTAAGCATCAGGATTTTGAGTGTCAGGATTCTGTAGTATAACCTATTTTCATTAATGTAACAAAGTCAGGATGGCCTATGTGTGCTATTCTGACATTCAAACTGAAGTTAATAAAATGTACCAGACTCCTAAGTGATCACTTTAATATTAAAAAAAAATTACAAACAAAAATAAACACTAATTAATGCTTGCAAATTAAAAGTAATCTATTATGAAAAACTTGACTAAAAGTTTTAATATTATGTAATATTTACTATTCTGAAAAGTATTTGTTATCAAGATCTGTATATATATAATTAATATTATACAAAACTATAATACCAATATTAAAAGTAATTATAAAGTTATACTTGCCAGATATTTTTAAATAAGATTTATAATAAATACTGCACTGAGTACAAAACTAGAAGTATCTTGTTATTAGTATAAAAAATATAGAGAATTTATGAATAAAAAATAAACTAATAGAAGTAGTATACAAAAACATAGATGAGATATAAAATACTCTAGCAGATTTAAGTTACAAATAAATGTTGTTCAAGTTTGGTATTTGAAAATTAGTTAGATAAGAATATATATGAAGCCAAAAACCTATTTTAATAAACCAAAAGTAGTAATACTGTATATAAATTTAAATAATTAATAAAAATTCAGAAACATAATCTTACCTTAATATTGAACAAAAAAAAAGTTTTAAATATTCTATATTTACACTTTTGAAATACAAAAAACTATGATTATAAAAAGATATACTAATTGTTAAAAGCATAGTGAAAACTCAATTGTTTAAATAAAATTAAATATATATTTATATAATGATTATCAAATACAACCAATTAAAATCAATAATTGGAGGCCTCATAATGATTTACTTTTAGTACGTACTATATATCAAATAAAATCTAAAATTAACAAGACTTGTAATAATCCACAATTAGTACAACAATATATACAAAATAATATATATTTAATATCAATACCAATACAATTTATTGACTTTAAACTTTTATTAGATTCTAATTGTCTAATAAAAATAAATTTGTAATTATATTGATTTTGTAACTATAGAGATTATATAAAGAAGGTTGCTAAATAATAAACATAGATGTAATTTTATCAAACCATACTATAAAAACCTGGCCGGCATTAAGCATAATTTCAGGCAAAGCTAACTTTAAATTCTAGAGGATGTGACAATTAAGCAAGAAAGTATAGTACAGTTTCATACCAACTACCAACTACTCCAGTGATTTTCACTAATCGACATCGAATCGGCCAATTAGATTACAAGATTAGGTGTAACGTGAAAATTTAACTCAAAATTTCATCTATGTAACCTACTGCGCACTAGTAAAAAAATTCCTTGCAAAATTTTAGTATAAAACAAGCCTCGCTATAATTGTAAACCTGACCCTAATGTAGTGTTTTATGACTTTAAAAAATTGCGCAGATTTGTTGTTGGTTGTCGATCAGCGAAAATCGGTCGGTAGTTCATCAATATCATACTGATCTTCGCAATACCTTTAATAAATTGTTGGTTTCCCGCACTGTACAACTGAAACGAAAGTTCTACACAAAAATGGTTTTAAATTTTTGTAGGCAAAAGAAGTTTACTTAAAGCATACTTTATTAGTAAAATGAGAATGTATTATTCATTAATTAATAAATTATACAACTTTTATGCTTATTTGAGTTAGCCGAATTTTTAAAATAAAATTCGTGAACCCCATGCCAGATGTATAGAGAATTTTTACATTGGAAAGCGAGCACTCTAAATTTAGATCATTATTTAATAATGACCTAATTCAGAATTCCCGGTTTTCATTCGCGTACAGAAAGTAATGCTCGATTTTTCTAAAAAAATCGAACATTACTTTATGTGACAACCGTACTAATAAATAGTGATTGAAATTGATGTAAAATCGTAATTAAATTATTCTTAAATTACATGTACTTATGTAAAATGTATCTAGAAATTTTTTATAAAATTCAAAATATATTACTTTTGTAAACCACCATATATGCTAAAATACATATAAAAAATACATACCAAAAATGTCCTCACATTGATTTCAATTCCACTATTAAATTTATTATCATACAGATTGTATAAAGCGAAATTAAATAATATCCCCAGGTGCGGGACATACAGAACTCATTTCGGGGCAGGTAGATGAGAGCAGAAAACAATGCTATCAATAAGAAAGATGCTGATACAAACAATGTTGGCTCGACTTCAATTTCGTATGGATCGCCAGTTTTGGCCGTCATATAAGTACCGCTCACACCAATACCTAAAAGAATATCTATATGGTGCATGAAAATTAATGTGCTTGTTAAATCGTAAAAATTGACGATCCAAAATCAGTAAACAAGATATTAACAAACATACTCAACATTGGGCCACCAAAGCATGCACTTATAGCCATCATAGGTCTCCCCATTTTTGCGATAGTGATATTGGCAACAAAATCACCAAGGCTACTACCCTTTAAATAAGGAATATAAAATATATATTTAAATTGTCTGAAACGGCAACACTTCATAATAATCAATTTAAACACTCCGACAAACCATCGCGAATATAGTTAAGCCAAGAATAGCATCACTCAACCCCATAATTAAACCTAAAGCCTACGGCCAAAAAATATATATATATAAATAAACCAAATAATAAAAAATAAATGCATATAATACAGCACCTCACCTGCAATAAGCCAACAACTTCGTTAGCTAAGAGATAAATCCAAACAATTGCGACACCAAATCCCATAAAGCTTAGTGCTGGATAAAACTTTGGAGGTTCATCATCACTCGTAGTAAAAATGCAAAACATGGATAATAAAATACCGACAATAAATGCGTAGAATATGAAAATAGGTGAATCATCACCTGTAATAAATAAATTGTGAAAATATTAGACAAATATAATAATTAGCAGATTTCCAAATAATGAAGAAACGACACTAACTGAATAACACCGCTGAGACGAATAAAGGAGCAAAAAAAAATTGAACTACAGTTAGCCAACGATTCCATCCTGTAGGGCACTTGTTCTCAGGTTCATCAATTATAGCCAAATCATGATCATCATTGACAACAATGGAAGGAGTGTCAAGATGTCGTAATTGACTATTTTTTTGTTCTTCTTGTAAGGGTATATCATCAACTTCCACAACAGGAAGTGTAAGTTTAAGTACAAGTATCGTTGGAAGAGCCATCAAAGCGGTGAGTTTTGCAACGAATGACTTTTCAAAGAAACCTGTAAGGGATGGAAAAAGAGTAAATTGTAATTTTTTCCAAATAGTTATTGGTGGTGATGTCTGTAATGGCATTAACAATGGAGATGATGCCGTTGTGACTATAGGAGAATGCATAGGTGACGAATGTATTGATATATCGGGTGAAAGATGTTGATCAGTTTCTGCTGATGGAGATGGTATTTGGAAAGCTTCGTGTGAAGGGGAAATATTTAATGGGGAAATATTTAACGGTGAAGAAAATATTTGGGGTGGTGGTGATAGAGATGATGACCTCCTTTGAGGGATTCGGATTCGTGGAATCGCCAAGAACTTTGGCGTACTAGGCACACTTAATGTGCTTGGAGCGAGATGTGTAGAAGAGTTATTTCGCGCTAAATCCGAAGTTCCTTCAACACTGGTCCACGCTCTCCTCTTTGGCCAACTTGAACGCATTGTTTTATTTCGTTCCGATGATCTCATACTGCTACCCAATTTGATAGAATTAACCACATCTCGATACTATGAAAAATTAAATTTTAGGAGAAAAAAAAATTTATCACAATAATATACATAGCAATTAAAATAATTATTGGACATGCAAAAAACAATAAAATAGAAATCGGACCACATTATACCTCTATCGCTCTGAGCAATGAAGGCCTACGATTAATTGTCATAGGCCTTGTAGAACCACCATGCTGGTGATGCCTAGATTGGTCTATATCATTTGTGGGTAGAAATAAATTTTGCGAATAACTTTCGAAATCATCATACGGTAACAAAGGTGTCATTGACATTGGTTGAATTGTTTGATTCGAATATTCAAGGCCGCGTTCACCTTCTGGTAATAAAAGATCCGTCTCATCGTAAGAATCATAACCGTAGGCGTCTCGATTTTCTGAAGGAATATTTAATAATAAACATATAACTCTGAAAAAATTAGATCATTTGTGATATCTATAACTTTTACCAAACTCTTCAGGCGCTTTAATGACTTCATTTCCTGTTATAGATTGAGCAAATTCCTCCCTATTCTTTTGTTCCAACAATCGTCTTTTTTTTTGCATCCAGTTTCCTAAAACCACTACGGTAACATAGATAACATAGAGTAATACTAAAACTATGCATTCCCACAAATAAATGTACCCATCCCAAATAATAGCAAGAGTAAATGCAATCGCTGTAGAAAAAAAAAGCACGTCTCGGAGGAATGGAGCTTTTTTAACACGAAACGGTTTTATAACTGCCATGGAACCAGCGACTACAGACGCTATAAAGTTTGCGGCACCGATAAGCTCACCGATAGCTAAAGGACCAGAACCGTGTGTCATTGCGCTAAAGGTACTAAAAAGATCCGGTGATCCATTACCGAATGCCAGGAAAGTTACCCCAGCCTTTATTATTCAATGGATGAAGTAAGTATTTCGAATCATATTAAGTTGTTAGAACTTATACATATTTTAACATTTACCATACTTTCGGAAAGCTTCAACTCGAAAGCAATTGTGCTTAGATTTGGGCAAAAAAAATCAGAAGCTGCGACACTAACGAAGCCGAACAAGAAAAGGAGCCACATAAACTGATTATTGTTTTGTATCATAATTAATAAATAAATAAGCGTGTCAATGGTCAAAAATAAGTGAAATAATGTTATATTCTTTACCAGAATTGATACTGCAATAATGCTCCAGTTTCGTGAAATACAAAAATAATACTGAAGATAATTGATTATGCTGGACGAATAGTCTTGACAATGTAATTTAACAAATCCGCATTTATCTTCATGGTTATATATATTATCGCACTGGATGATTTAAAAATTCAGTTGCTTTAATAAAAATGTATAATTCATGTACAATTGTCTGACGAAGCAATCATTTGCCTTAAATTATTAATAGTACATATCCACGACTTGCAGTTAATACAATCCAATCTTATAACACTATCGCGTAATATGCAATATATTGACAATTTCCTTCGAAAACTATCATTTGCATTATTATAGAATCCCTGCCTACCTCGGTAGATAGAATCTTAAACTGGGGATTGCTGTCGTCAAGGCTTGATAGTTTTCCACGTAAAAAATTTCTATTATCGTTTATAAAAAGGGACGTTTCTTTAATTCGTTTGTTTTTCACACGTTGCTTCCACAAAAAAACAACGCTGTTGAAAAAAAGAAATACACAAAGTAATAACAAATAATTTTTGCGATTCATTGAAACGACGAGTTATCGATTGAATAAAATTCATCGTGATGAAACCAGTAAACAAAATTCCAAATAGGTAAGCCGCTAAATTGGCGTTTGGTGGCTGAGTACCGTACCTCGTCTTGTATAGCTGTACAACGTTTTTTTTTTTTGTCAAAAAATTTAAAGATACGTATCACTTTTTCAAAAAGTATATCTTTATAGTTTTTACGTAGTGAAAATTTTATTAAGCAGATATGATAAATGGACTTGAATATATACTGTATATATACTGTATACATTGATAACTGGTCAAATTGGTCAGGTCAAGGTTTTAAACCAGTTTTAATAATTTTTAATATAGCTTACGAGGGGTCAGGTTGTGCTAAGTTTAGCCCAACCATAACGATAACCGACATTTCATATGATCATGTGAATTTTTTTGCCATGATATTTTTTGCATGAAATTACGTAACCAGTTTTGCAAAA